CCAGTGGGAGTTCTTGCTTCACTAAAAGCCTTTCCATTTATACAAAGAACTCAAGATGAAGTCATTGGCAACATTGAATGGTAAACATGGTTTCACTTAAATTCTTATACTCTTCTAAAAGCTGTCTTTGCAGGTGTATTGAGTCCAGAGGACAAGAAAAACTAAATTGTACATCTGAAACCAACAAGGCTGAATAATACCAGCGCACATTTTCAACCTTTTTGATAACTTCAGCAACTTTGTACCCTGTATAAGTGCTGGACTACAAAACCTGTAAACTACGTCCAGCACACTGGTTATGAATTAAAGGAGTTATAGTAATAATTACCAGAAATGTGCCAAATTCCAAAGAGTGCTTGCATAGTCCCAATCTTCAAGCACAGGTATTTGAAAAAACAAAAAAAACAGTGAAAATTTTGGTAAACTCTGTGTTAGAATTTTCCCCTCCCCAAAGCTGCAGGAAAACAACCCAATTGCACTTTTAAAATGAATTTAAATGACTTCTATTGAAAAAAAAAAAATAAAGTAGGTACCTACTGCATGTGAAATAGTATTCATAATATAGTGACTTCTCACATATCAAGATTGAGCATAATCTTAATTAGTAGTTATTTCAGTAGCAGGCTACAGTTCTGTTCTATTGCTTGTGAACCATCTCTGGTAGCATAATCAAGGTGTTGTACTGCGATTCGGTTTCCTGCTGTTATTGACCCATATTGCTCACTTTATAATAAATCACTGTCTAGACTCAGCTTTTTCCCCCCAAGATAAGTTGTGTGCCATCTTGAACTATTTGAAGTAAGGTGGGATAGAAGTATGTCTTTGACAATTAATAGGACTCTCATTCATAGTATCATTATAATAATGATACACAGTAGATACCAATAATTGGATAAATGTTGATGCTTCCTTACACAACCAAAACCAGGAGCCATATTAATTGGAGTACACATTCTTGCATGGCAAATGTGGTGGACTTCAGAATCACAAAACTTCCTTTGATTTTTCATTACTAGAATCCTGAGGTGGGCCAGCTAGTACCTGGGGCAAAAGATTTATAATCTGAATTCATGAATTTGGGGGCAGAAATTGGATCTGAATACTAAACACTCCAACGTTTTGGTATGTCAATAGTAATTTTATAGGAGGCAAACCATGCTGTTCCTGCTGAATGCAAACCCTTCAAAGACCCACTATTTCTATATGCTGTATGAGTTGGAAATAATTGTACAGTCCTTCTAGTACAACTCTTGCTATTATAAGAAGCTATTAATCCATCTGCAATAAATGACTTCATCTGAAAACTTCCAACCAGGAAATCTACCACTGTTCTAGACAGACCTTTCCATCATTTAACAGCTCTTGTGGTTAAGAAATTCCTCCTAGCATACTCAAAAGTGACTTACATTTCTTTTAACTGCTTGGTCTACTTCTGCTCACCTTGCTCTAGGGTGGAAACAGATTTTAACCCAGATTCAGGAAATGATTTTAGCAAATTAAAAAAAAAACCCGACTGGTATCTTTCCATTTGCGGTACTATCAGACCAATGTAATTATTATTAGGAGCAAGGTGGCAATGCAAAACAAGCCAATTATTGTAATAGTAATTAGGTTTCATCCTTGATAGTTGGCTCCAATTCCTGGAGTGATTTGGCAAAGATATGGGTCTTTACAGAAAGTGTTTTTCAGGTTGTAAATTGTCTAGGTTTGTTCCCACTTTTTTGTCTACTCACTGCTGTTTATCTTTATTTGGATATTATTACTATATACACAAAAATCACAGCTGCCAGAGCTTTAGCTGGTATTGGCCTTCAAATGAATCAAGTTCTTCTAAAAAACCTAAAATGTCATAAGGTATAGGTGTAGTATAAGTGCACATCTAAGCAGTGTTACCTTTTGTTATTGACAGATTGAAATTTTTGTCAATACACAGGTTTTCTAAGTGCTGTGCAAGATTTCTTTTAATATGGCACCCAGCGTGCCAATAGCCGCTGTGATTAGTTTTTGCCATAATTTTTCAATTTCTATTTTCAGATCTTGATACCTTACAATCTTTTCCAATAATTTGTATTCTATTCTGCTGTCTTGCTTTGCCACATCAATTATTATCACTTTCTTCTTTTCAACCACAGTTAAATCTGGTATGTTATGAACCAAGACTTTATTGGTTTATATTCAGAAATCCCACAATATTTTAACCTGCTAATTTTCAACAATTTTTTTAACTCTATGTTTTTCATTATTCGCACATAATTTTTGCAGATTTTCCAGTGAATCATTTTGGCAACTATGTTATGTTGTTATTCATAATCAGTTTGTTTAATATTTTTTCACAAACTGAGTATATGATCTACTGTTTCTTCAGCTTCTTTATATAATTGTATTGTGAATCCTTTGATGATTTTTCAATTTTGGGCTTGATTGCACTAGTTTGAATAACCTGCTCCACAGCAGCCAAAATCAAGCCTTCAGTTTCTTTTTTTAATGTTTCAGTTGTAACCATTTCCAGGTTTTATCTTTATCCACATCCTCCTCTACATTTAGGGAAATTGACCATACAATATAATGCTTTTCCTTGCCAGCATTCTGTTCTTGTTTCTAATGCATTATTTGAATATTCATGTTTTGTGTCCTGTACATTCGGTAAGTTCCAATTTTTAACTTACATCAATACTTGTTTTCACCTTTTAGATAACCAGAGAATTCATGTTATTCTTCAACAATTGGTTTGACTTGAAGTAAATCTCTGCCTACATTTCTGCAGGGCAGATATAATAAATATATCAATATCATTATGCGGAGTTACTAGCTTTCTTGTTTTTTAGTCTAACTGTACAGTCCAGTTGTGTCCTGTTAATAATTCCAGCAGTCTATCATATTGACTGATGGGATCTTGTCAATGCCCCTGATGTTCAAGTAGTGCTCCAGGTATTATTATGTGTCGGTAATCTACAGTTAGATTTATAATCTAAGACTAATGAGAACTCAATAATTCACATTTTATCCAAGGACTTAAGAATCATTAAATTATTCTAAGCAGGATGTGTTTTTGTAAAATTAGGGTGTTCAGAAAAATTCAATATTTCCACATTTCAAGGAAGTCTTGGGTATTGCTCTGAGGACTCCAGTCATATTTGGTATAACAACAGATTTCTGCAAGTCCAGATATTGTGTAATTTTTTCTAATTGTTTTTTCTCAATCCTAGCATCACTCAGAACAGCAGCATCAATGAAACAGACTTTCTTGTTTTCAACAACTGTTATATTAGGCATGTTATGAATGAGATGCCCATAGGATCTTAACCCACTTATTTTCCAAAACCTTTTCAACTTGATGGTCCCAGTAGTTTTTTTTTTTTTTTTTACTGTATTCAAATAAAAATCTCTGGCAAAGTGTCCAATGAATAATTCTGGCAACTCAAGTTATTATAATTATGTGTGGGTAATCTATAGTTAGATTCACTGTGTTATTTTTGGATTGCAGGGGACCTCTAGGTAAATGTGTTTTTCTTATTTTGCCATTTTTTAAAGTTAATAATAATAATAATAATAATAATAATAATAATAATAATAATAATAATAGTAAAGTTGGAAGGGACCTTGGAGGTCATCTAGTCCAACCCCCTGCTCGGGCAGGAAACCCTACACCATTTCGGACAAATGGCTGTCCAGTCTCTTCTTAAAAACTTCCAGTGTTGGAGCATTTACTGCTTCTGGAGGCAAGCTGTTCCACTGATTAATTGTTCTCTGTCAGGAAGATTCTCCTTAGTTCTAGGTTGCTTCTCTCCTTGATTAGTTTCCACCCGTTGCTTCTTGTCCTGCCTTCAGGTGCTTTGGAAAATAGCTTGATTCCCTCTTCTTTTTGGCAGCCCCTGAGATATTGGAAGTTGTAGAAGGTAATGTTTTCTAGAACTTTTTAAAGGATTGTTGTTATAGTACTGCTTCTTTTTCAGGCTTAGCGTGGCAAATTGAAATGGATTTTATACTGCTTTTCTTAAATTGCATTGATGATGGAAATGCTTACACTTAGCATATTTTTTACACAGGCTGCCACAGTTTTTTTCCTATCACAATGTTACTAATTGCTTTTTGAAAAGCCAAATAAAGGTTTTATTTTGATTTTTAAGTAGAGCAAAGATAAAAGAAGATAGGGATGAAACTTATACCTGTTTTCGGTCATGTTCAAAAATAAAAACTAGTGCTGTGATAATTCAATAAAAATACAATATACCTTTGGGCCGTACTTTGTCTGATGTACAGTGGCCTAGAGCAACGGTCCCCCAACATTTCCAGCTCTGCACACCATTGGTGGCAAGTGGAGCTTTGCGCGCAAGTGCACACATCTGCTGCTTGTGCAAATGTAGTTTTGTGCACTTGCCCACTCGCCCGCCAATGGTCCACAGCCTGGGGGTTGGGGATCCTTGGCCTAGAGGTGAAGATGCTAGCCTCCCACTTGGAAGGTTGATTGTTCCATCCTAGGCAGCGACAGATGTTTCCATCAGGACCAAAAGAGAAAATATATGCTGTGAACTCCATGTAGGCATCAGGAAGGGTATCCAGGCAGTAAACACTCAACTCATTCCATCACCCTGACTCCACCCCAATAAAAAGGAATATAGGATTGCAAAATGAAAAAAGTGGGTTAGAAATATGCATATATATATCAGTTCCTTCTGATCCACATATTTTTCTTCTTGGAAATTCTGAAAGATATAATCCAACATAGTCAAAGGGTAGCAAATTGGAGAAGAACCTCATTAGAAATGGACACATCAAAAGAATGGATCAAGTTGTAGGATATGCTATAAAGAAAAAGGATGTCCTGTCTTGATAAAATTATCTTTTGGAATAAATTTTGCCCCACTATAACTACATACTACATAGAGAAAAAATAAGCAGCAAGAGCATATGTCTAACTGGGTGAAATGAGCCATTCTTTCACCTCTATTGATATAACAGCAGAACTACTGAATACTAAGGAAACAAACATTTACCATATATGCAGTTATATGTTTTGCTTTTATTTGAAAAAATAGTAAATGTAATAAGAACACTGACCAGAAAGTTATTAAAAGCTTCATAGCAAAATATTGAGTCAACTCTGTTACAATATTTAGGCTTGAAATTCTAATAAGTTAACACCATGCCTCAATTCACTGGGCAAGTAATGCTTTTGTCACAGAAAGAGTTTATTAGAATACAGACTTGGACAACTATAGAAAAAATATCTTTCGCAGTCAATTAAAAGTAAATTTTGACATATAACTATTTTGGGAGAAGCTAGTAAATCAATTCCTGAGTTATTTATATTATGTCCAACATCTTTCGATAAATTAATACTGTGATCTTGTAGGCAAAACCACAAACAAGAATGGACTACTTGCCTATTAAGCAAGAATAGGCTTCAGGGTGGCCTTCTTCAATTTGATGCTACTAAAATAATCTTGGGCTTCAAAATCTCAGACAGCATGGACTTTAATTTGCTGGCTGGAAAAAAAACTGACATCTGCATAACACCAAATTGTGAAAGGCTTCTCAGAGAGGCATATGAATTTATTTCTAATGAACATTCACCCTACTAATTTAACAATAATTTTCAGTGTCAGTATTGCTGTCTTTGTGGCATTTCACAATCTGATTTATCACTGCAATTGGCTGTGTTACAGTAAAGAAACATGGTCTAGAGGAGCTTCATAACGGATGGTGGTAGGCATAATGAATTTCTTTTTCATGTTCAGAAAAATTATACTGGGCAACAGGACACCAATTCTGTTATTTAAAAATTTCATCTAAATTCACTGTCTTCTAGGAACACTTGTGTAGGCTATCTGCATTATAGAAAAAAATAACAATAGGGTGAACCAGTTACAGGAATCAGTTGGAGGATTTTTTTTAAGCTATTTAATAGACTTAATTTTGGAGTGAAGCAACTGTATCCAACTTGGAAAAACTGATAAAAGATTTTAAAAAAATATGAATGGTGATTACATCCATAATCTTCCAGTGGAAATCATGAAATGCCAGAACTTGACAATTCTATATAGACACTTCTCAACAATTGAAGCGTAACAAAACTTCAGGTAAATAATTGTAACAATAAAGGAGAATATCTTAGCTCAGGGTTGAAATGAGGGGGTCCTTAGTGCTCCCTGAACTTGGTTGTTTTCTTGCAGACGTTTCACTACCCAAACTAGGTAACATTATCAGTGCAACAGGGCTCAGAGAGCATCAAGGACTTCCCTCAAATAACTCTAAGGATATGTGTGTATGGGTGTGAGTCCTACATTACTTTAAACATTGTTTCTATGTTACAAAAGGGCAAGCTATGTTAACACTTGTAAAATGTAAAATTCCCTTCTCTGGAGTTTAAGCAATATATGGCCCTCGTGATGACGAAATACTATGATCTCTAACCAGCTTGCTGAATCTCTTCAGTAAACAGACTAATGGTGGATGGGTGGGGTGGAAAGAGAGGATGCAGCAAGAAGTAGTGATAAAGCAGGAAGTGATTAAAAAAAAAAACCTTTGTTAACACCTCTCTAACTATTGGTCATTTTTACCAGAACAATATATATCGCTCCTTGATAAACTGCCAAATAAAGCTACAAGGACCTTTGTGTTAAACTGCATCAGAAATAATTTTGGGAAGAGGATGATAAAATTGTTTCAGTTTCCTCCCACTCAACCCTGGGTGATAAATAACAAAAGATCTACCTTGTATGTCCTTCGATATAATAGTAGATCCATAATAATGGATCTTCTTCATTCATGAAATAGGAATTAGGTAGTTTCGGAAAATGTACATACTATTATTTTTAATTTGCATATTCCCCGTTTTCCAGAAAATCCCAAATATCTAATGTCATTTCACTTAACATTTTTCCTATATATAAAAGAAAAATGGGTGCAATCTATTGAAATAAATGGAAAGTTACTGAATAGGTAATATTTTAGCATTCTCCAATCATGTACCTTCCAGATATGTTAAAACTATTACTTTCAATGCTGGTTTGACATTCAAACATATCTAATTGGGAAAAACTATTATTTTTGGTAAGTTTTGCAGGACAATAGCCTTGGATCCTCTGCTTGTAACATATTTGGCTTATATTCAAACCACTATGCAATTCTCCATGCTCAGACTAGATATGGACTTTTGTTTTTTGAACAGTAGCAACTGAGGCAAATGACAATTCTCTCTGGTAGCAGATGAAAGCTTTTAGATACAGAAAAGGGGAGAAAACAAAAACATCCAGAAATTTTGAGTTCATCTTAAGTACCTTTGAGGATTCTACAAATGATACCAAATATGATCTTGGTACTTCAGACTTTATATGTTTCCATTGTGAGCCAAAAACATCATTCTTAAACTTGCAGTCTCCGATGGTTCTGAACACTGAAACTTATTTAATCAGCCACAACTCTACTTTTAACTATGAAAAACAAAAGCAAAACAAAACATCCTTATGTAGAAACAAAAAACTGACTAGAAAGCAATCTGGATTTAAATCACTCAAACTTGCTGAACAAGTGGCACAGTAGTTGTAAATTAAGATATTATTTCTTAATCTACATACAATTGCCACCTAATGCAATCACTAACCAAATAACATTATGTCAGGGCCATGTTTTCCTGAACAAGCTACTTAACTTTAAACTTTTGTCATTGTGATGAAAAAAATATTTTCAAACACAAGGCAATTTTAATCAGAGAGAAATATTCAATAAGAATACGGTTGCACTAAAAGAAATGAAAGGAAGGGTTCAAAATGTTTATTTTATAAAATAAATACTGTCAAATATATTAACTGTAGTCATCTGATCATCAAAATCTTGTTTCTGAAGTTCCACGCTTTAAATTGTTACTCAAAAACTCATCATGCTCAAAACTCAAATTATTGTGAGATCTGGAAATCATCAATAGTTTTTCTTTATTAGTAAAGTCTTTCTTCGCTGCAGCTGGTGGTATGAGAAGCCTGTCCATAGGGTCTTCCTTATTTTCTAGTTTCATATAACCTTTGCTGTTACTACGGTCCAGTCGTGGCCAGCTTGGATGTTTTCTTTGTTCAACTTGGACAGTGAGAGTAGAAGGACCCCTATCCAAGTCTAGGGATTTTGAATGTGCAGACAAGTGATGCAAAGAGGTGTTAGACCCGAACTGTTGTCTGGCTGCACCAGGTGATAAGAGCTGTCCAGTGCTGGCTCCAAGAGTCATTGAAGATTTGAACTGACTGAATGAAGAGTCTCCATATAAAGTATTGCGTGGCAACAAATCATTGGCAGATTTGTAGCTATCACCAGTATTCATTAATGGGAGAGCCAAAGAATCCATGGACAAATTTCTAGGTCTGTCTCTACTCCTTGATAAATCCTCAGTGATATTGTCAATACTTGGTTCATCAATAACACAGTTATTCAGTTTGATTACAGGTAATGTGAAAGCATTAATGGAAGATGACACAATCGATTTTGTTTCACACTTCAGAGAGCCACTGCTTCTTTCGTCCCTCGCTTTCCCAGAGTGAGGGTAAAGGCCAAAGACTGAACCAGAGTGTTCCATCAGCAAAGGTGACATAAGATTTGGGATTGATTTCTTGGTCTCATTTCCAGCAAGTTCATCCTCTTCATCGTTGCTAACCCTTTGGAAGTTGCTTGCAAAGCCTGAGAAAGGAGCAATTGTATTTGCAGCCAGCCGGGATGCACAAGAGCTTCCACCATGCTTGATTTCATTCTCTCCTGCCAAGCCGGTATAGGCACCGTTCAGCTGCCTTTGCTCACTGATTCTCAGAGTGTGGATGTCAATTACAGTGGAATAGATGTCCCTCATGTGTATGATTTTTGTCTCCTTGTCCCGGTTTTCATGAAGCATGGCATTTGCACAAATAAAAATAAATATTCCAATCCCCATAGTGAAAGGCCCCAGCATTTTCATTTTATCAGAATGTAAATGCTGCTCAAGGAAGCGCATAATAAATCCCCCTCCTCTTCCTATTAACTGAGTCTCGTTTAGTGTCAAGCTGTCTTCAGGTTCCAGGAATGAGTCTTTTGGGGGCCAGTAACCAAGAATGGCCATAGCAATTCCGAGGAAAGAAATCAGCACTCCCAGGATAAGGAAGAATCCTGATGGGGAATACAGTCGGATTTTGCCTCGGACTACAACCACATCCGTCCTTGGCCGACGCTTGGCTGGTTTCTGTTCCTCAGGAGCTGGTGATGTTGCACGACTGAGATGGTGTTGGGATCTGGCAGAATCTTGCCTTTTTAAGGCAGCCAGTCCTGTTATGACTCCTCCGGTGGCTATCATAATTTTCTATTGTGATCTGGAATTGAAAGCAAAAACAAAAGACTTCAAAAAGTAACAACAGGCACTAAATAGGTAGCATTCGGTACTTCGAACTCCCCAGAACTGTGTAACTCTAACCTGTAATTTAGTACACTCAGAACTCTTCATAATACAAAGACCGAGTGCGTCGTATAATATACTGTATGCTGAATATATTCTGAAACTGTCTTATGTAATTACATATTAAAAAATTTACTTGTAAATCAATACAGGTAGTCCTTAATGTACGATCACAATTGAGCCCAAAATTTATGTTAGTTAAGTGACAAATTCATTGAATGATTTTTGCCCCATTTTATGACTTTTTTTGTCACATTTGATAAGAGAATCACTGCAGCTGCTGAATTAGCAACCCGGTTGTTATGTGAATCTGATTTCCCCACTGACTTTGCTTGTCATAAGGTCGCAAAAGGGGCTTGCATGACTCAGGGATACACTGCAACTGTCATAAATGTGAGTCAGTTGTCAAACATCTGGATGTAAATCATGTGGGATGCTGCATTGGTCATAAGTGTGGAAAATGGTCATAAGTCACTTTATTCAGTGCCTTTGTAACTTGGAATAGTCACTAAGCAAACTGTTGTAAGTCAAGGACTAGCTGTACATGGATTTCCAGCAGAGCTAAGAATCAAATACAATGTCCATAACAAATGAAATGTCTGTTCAATAGTAAAATATCTTATCTAGTAAAATCAGTAACAAAGAATATAGATTTTAGATGCCAGTCTTGAAAACACTTGTGATGCTATTTCTTGATTTTTTTTTTCATAAGTTATTTCAAGTCATTAAAATACTGATATTTATTTGCAGGACCATATAGTGCCAGGCATTGCTTCATATAAGTTCCTGATGTTAGTAACAAATGGTTGGAACTGTGATTTCACCAATGCCTGAGATGGAAAAAGTGACAGCTAGATTCAAGATCACCTCTGATGCTTCAGAATAAATTTATTTTAGAACAAAATCAAAATACTTTTACCTTTCAATTTGTATTATACAATAGCTTTTGCATGATGGATTCCATGAATCTGAGCATTGTGCTATTTAAAGTTAGAAAATCAGGGGCTTTTTTTTTAATGAGCATTGGAAAACTACTATGAAGTCTCTATTTCAAATGAGATGAGACTGCATAGGTCAGTGGTAGCGAACCTATGGCACGGGTGCCAGAGGCGGCACTCAGAGCCCTCTCTGTGGGCACGCGCGCTGTCGCTGGGTTTTATAAAACCTTTTCGCTTTAGGCCTCCACTGCCATATACAAAAAAAAAAAGGTTCAATCAATCAGTCAATTTCAACTTCTCACGGGAAAAAAAAAGATCTTGCAAAGTTGGAATTGATTGAACTTTTTAGTCCCACCCAGTCTGCTGTTACCATCGCAGCCACACCCACCCAATGGGCCACACCCACCCAATGGGCCACACCCACCCGGCACCCGATGATGCATAAGTGGGTTTTGGGTTGCAGTTTGGGCACTCGGTCTCTAAAAGGTTCACCATCACTGGCATAGGTACAATAGTGGTGCCAAATTAATGGATGTTTTTTTTTCTCTTCAGGGATTATTTGCACAAGTAATTAAAGCCTGTCCTTCTCACCCAGCAAGAAACAGAAACTTATTAAGAATTGACTTAGGACTACCAAGCAATTCCAGTAAACAGTGGCTAATTAATCCAATTAGGAATCAAAACCAAGAAGCAGAAGCTGCTTTAAAGAAAAAAGCAACAAGATACCTCTAATTAAAGGGCTACTTGGAAGAAAAAGCAAAATAGCATTTTGGAAATTCATGTTGGATAACTTGATATTGCATGAGGTTTAAGAGCAATATTGATACAAATCAAGACTGAAGGAAGCAAAAAAAAAAAATACTCCAGAATATGAAGTTATTTAGGTTCTTTGTAAAAAATTTCACTGTGATGAAATGAGCAGTGAGAAACTAACCATTTAAAATTACACAACAGTCCAAGCCCAAACTTTATCCTGTTAAAAAGCAAAGATTTAGCCACTGAAGCTAAATGCATGTCAGATGGCATGGGGCTGATATAATAGACTGAAATGAAAGCATGCTTCAACAATTTATACCGAAGAGAGTGAAAAATGAAAATAGGAACATTCCAATTTACAAGGGAACGCGAAAAATAGAAAAAGACAGCGAGCGATTAGCTTGTTTGGGAGAAGATTTCTATGCTGAAACAACTTTTTCAAAACTTGAAACTCTTATCTCTTTGCATAGACATTTATTGTAGGAAGTAAAAAGAACAGCAGACCAGTGAATTCATAAGATGGGCTGGATTCTATGAAGTGAATAGTAGGTTGCCGCTGAGAGGACTTTTAAGAAAGAGCTAATGCTGCCTGGAGCAAGCACTGCAGATGCTTAGCAACAAGAGAACACCAACACGGAGCCTACAGACCTCTTGGTAGGCCTGGTGGTAGAGCAGGTTGCCATGACAGCAGTAGCACAAGAAGAAGAACTAGGTATACTACTGTTGGCCAGCCTCACAGCAGGGGCACAAAATCAGAACTTGGTATATCTGCTACAGATTTACTGAGACTAAAAACAGAGGTAAGAGTGACACAAATGATCCTAGCACTGCATGGATGCAGGCTAATTCACACTTTAGATGTGCCACTATAAATCAGGACTGATTACAATCCACACGTATACATATATGTAAGTAAGGATGGTGATAAATGATCGTGCAACTTTGAAAAGGCAAAGACTTTCTTGGCAGGCCACACACTTTTCATGGAGAAGACCTGGCAGCTCCAGATGAGGCTGGAAAGTCCTGTCTCAAATCTGAGGTTAGATAGATCAGTAGTCTGACATGTTGTCCTTAAACTCTGAAGATATGTGATTTTGATAAGTCCCTCCTTCTTGCTGTGTCCTTTCTCTGGACAAGTCATTCCCACATCTAGTATGCAGAAGGCTACATACTGGCCAATAGTTGGAAGCAAAGAGCTAGGATTTTTCTATATGTCTCTGCTGCCATATCATGATCATCTGAATTTCTGCAGCCGAGATATGGTCTTGTCATGCCAAAACATAGACTAAAAAACATTAATGTGCATCTTTGACTAAGTTCTCCTATGACACAGTCTCATGCTAATCCAGTATTGAATTATTGGCTGAAAGACATCTAATTGAGTCATTCAATGTAGCTTCTGAATTTGCTCTGTCTTCAACCAGCCAGCGAGGAATAAGACCATATGTAACAAAGACACAGGAAGCCTTGGCACAGGGTAAATTTGTATGTTATCAGTTCAGTGATTACAATATAGGGAAAATCTAAAGACTGAGATTCTGCAGTCTATAATTCTTCAATTGCAAGCTATAAGTAAGCCTTGATCCTTATGTATCCAGACCAAGGGCTCCAAGGGTTTTGGAGGCTAAATCCTATTAAGAGTGCTAGGCATGTTTAGCCTAAAGAAGACAAGAAGGGAGATGTGATATTAGTTTTTCAATCCATACGTGAAGAGATGTCACAGGGGAAATAGTATGGATTTATTTTCCAAAGCAACCGGTAGATGGAAGCTCTATAGCAGTGGTTCTCAACCTTTTTAATGTCGCGACCCCCCCCCCAACCGGTCGTAAGTCGAGGACTACTCAACCGGTCATAAGTCGAGGACTACTCAACTGGTGCAGCACCATTTGCAGAATGGGACTTTTGGCGGGCTCAGCAGGGCAGAGACCGCCTGGACAATTCCTATTGGCTTTTGAAAGCCAATAGAATTAGACTCTATTCAAGAGAGTCTATTCTATTGGCTTTCAAAAGCCAATAGAATAAAAGGGAGTAGCACAACTAAGGAAAAGGGGGGAAAATGGTGGACTGCGTTGTTTGGCGACCCCCGTGAAATGGTCGTTCGACCCCAAATGGGGTCCCGACCCACAGGTTGAGAACCACTGCTCTATAGTAAGAGATTCAAACTTGAAATAAGAAGGAATTTCCTGTCTGTGAAAGCTGCTAAGCAATGGAACAACTTGCCTTCTAAAGTCATCGATGCTCCATCCGTTGAGGTTTTCAAAGAAAGACTGGACAGCCATATGTCCAGGAGCCTGCACTGGGCAGTGTAGTCAATGAAATACAACAGGAAAAAGAAGAAAGAATGCTATGATGCCCTGTATTACATAGTGATACCAAGGAAAGAAAGAAAAGAAGAAAAGAAAGAGATGGTGAAATTATTGTTTTTAATTGAAGTATACTAATTTGAGGAAAACTTTATTCTTATTTCATATGTTTGTCTTAAACCAAGGACAGTTACATGAAAGAACACTAACTGAACATCATTTTTGTTTAGTATTCTTTTTCTCTGATATCCTCCTACTTAGCTCATTTCCTGGTTATATTTAATCTACAAGCTCCTTGTGTTGGAAATTTGCTTTTTGCTTTTATTTCCTTGTAAACTGCCATACATATTGATGATGGTATGAAAAGAATAATAATTATGTGTTTGAAATTAACTAATGTTTAATGCATTTACTATGGCAAACGCTCAGATTGTCATGGTGTGACTTTCAAAGTGACTTCATTATTTGGTTTAGTTCATTTATTGGTGCTTTTATCTTTCTTTGCACCATTACATGAACTGAGCACATTTGTGAAATCAAAAGTCAAAATTTCCTGAGTTATATGATCTGACTACTTTAGAAGTAGCAGAGGAATCTATGTTTGGTACACATGATGATGATGTTATGCTAAAAACTAAGGAATACATTAAAAATACAGTAATAAGCATATCCATAAGCACAGCTAATAATACTGGGGGAACATACTTCGCAACTAACAACAACAACACTTGGTTCATTGGAGACTAACTTTTATGAGCCAACCTTAACACTCAGGATAAGGGCACCCACTCTTTCTAGTCCAATGAGATTGCATTACTTCAACTCCAATTTATCTATGCCCAATATAGAATTAATTTCCATATCTGAATAAGATGAAAAGGAAGTGATGGCTTGGTTGCCAAAATTCATTAGCAGAAAGATGTTCTCCTCCTCTCTCTTTCTTGCATCTAACTCAGAAAGATGAATCTTAGGATAAACAAATCTTAAGAAAACTATTTTCTCTGTGGGAAAATACATTTGCATTGAAAAAAATGTTTAATGTTATTTTTACCCTCTCTTTTCTCTGCATGTTAGACTATCACACAGGGATGTTGTGGCTCTACATTTTCCTTGCGCCCAGCCAGCGCAGTCAACTGCCCAGAATCATTCTAATATGTTTTATGTCCCATGTATATAAATATTAGCTATTTTTTCCCGTTTTCTTTCATTTTGATTATTTTAATTTTAGATTGAAACAGGGAGCCTATGAGTTGACTCAGACCAAGGTTGTATCAGCCTTCCATCCTTCTGAGGTCGGTAAAATGAGGACCCAGATTGTTGGGTGCAATATGCTGACTCTGTAAACTGCTTAGAGAGGGCTGTAAAGCACTGTGAAGTGGTATATAAGTCTAAGTGCTATTGCGATTCACTCTTTGGGCACAAACGACCTGTGTGACCTTGAGCCAATCTCTCTTTCAATCCTAGAAGAAGGCAATGCCAAAGCACTTTAGAACATCTTGCTAAAAAAATTGAACAGACTAATCCAGGCAGTTGCCTAGAGTCAACACTGACTCGAAGGCACTCACAAAGAGGGAAAAAATACAAATATGCCGTAATACTTTAACAGCGGGTTAGGAAAGCAAGAAACATGTGATTACTTGAGTGTTCAGTACAAATATTGTCATAATAAAGAGCTTTAATATGAACGCCTACCCTGAAAGAATAGCCCTTCTTTGCTAGCTAAAGTATTAGATAACTAAAAGCCTCGGGCACGGTCTTGGGCACCCGTAACCGACTGATGAGATAATAGATCAGATAAGCAAATTTGAGCTGAACGTTCTACTAAGCAGTTCTTCTCTGCCTGCTACTGATGGCAGCCAACTGCTGATGATAGCCTATTGCTAAGGCTGATAGAAAATCTGTTCAAGGAGACCAAATCATGTAAACTTGACCTGTGACCCCTTCTCTATTTCAACTGAGCCATGTAAAATCTTACAAGCCATTCCTGTTCTTTTTCCACTTTCTAACTCTTGCCACCCTCATTCTTGATGTACCTACCCCCACTCAGGTACTATTAAAAGACTGTCCTTTCAAACATCACTTCTCTTCAGAACCATCTGTGGTGGCAATCGCATCTTGTTGCCTCTAGACAGTCGCTCATCACTATCCAGCAGTTATCTGTAAATGGAACACAAAAAACAAAAGGACAACCATTTGTATGAAGCACAAGCTCTCCTGTGGGTTGCCCTACTAAGCTCTTTAAATCATACTTCTTTCTTCTGAGATTAATCTTTTTTTTTTCAATCCTGATTTTTCAATCTAGTAGATATGCATTTACCACAATAAAAATTACAACAATGAATTAAAAAGGGAAGTGAGGGTAGGAATTAGTACACTGAGGCTAAGAACGCTTTTTCATCCATCATGCCTTCACAAACTGGTTAGATTAATCAGAAAACCACATTTATCTTCCTTAAATAAGATTAGCAGAAGCTATTCCTGAAGGCCCACCTGCTTTTAAGAGCATAATTGCTTTTTTCTTACTCTAAGAAGCATTTCTAGTTTCAAGAGGTACAGCATTCATAGCAAATCAGCTGAGAAGGAGCAAAGAGGCAAAGAGAATAACAACACAATATACTAGCTTAAAGGCAATTATAATTGCTCTTCCCAAGCAGGAACACCAGTGTCAAAAGATATGCACAGTGTATAATACCAAGCTTTTTAGGAATATGGATGTGAATATTATTACAATAGTGTAAATAAAATTAAAGGTCAAATATACTTCTAACCATAAACTCCCTATTTGACTGCTATTTCATTCTTCCCATCTCAATATTTTTTCCTTTTGTTTCTCCTTCTACATAACAGATTTGCTAAGACTGATGTACAATTGGGACTGATGGATAAACAGCTGGAAAAAAAGTCATGGAACTTTGTTTTATATATATATGGTGACTGCAGTGAGATGATTATAGGCTCAAAAGTGGAAAGATCCATACTGCCCAAAATGGAGGAATGGTTGGTGAAGATGATGGGACTTGCAGAGCTGGCTAAATTGGCTTCCTTGATTAAAGTAAAAACAACTTCATTTGTCGCTGACTGGAAACACCTTAAGGACTTTTATATGAAAGAGAAAAAATGAACTTTTGTTTTGTGGTTTCATGATTAGAAGACATTAATGATACTGTAGAAAAAAGAGAGCTTTTTTGTAACCACAAGTAAGGAATAATTTTGTTATCATACTACAGTATATTTGCTACAAAGGAAATCAGAAAGCTTTTGTATTTCTTTTTATCTTGTCTTTTTTGCACTTTTTCTTTTTCTCCCTTTCCCTTTTCTTTATTTTTCATTGGTTTTTGTTAGTTTTTAAATCTTCTTTTAAAAACTTTTAAAATGCATAAATAAATACAGTAACACATTTGTAGAGGCAAATAAAATCTTTGCCTTTGCTTCAGCAATCTTTAACTATTCCTCTTCTAATTCTACTATTATTCACTAAATCCCACTGAATGATTAGTGTGCATAATTAAAACTCATCACTTTCACTGTTCAGTGCTTCATCTTTTAGTATCTTTCTTCAACCTCAATTGTTAATCCCATGCATCTATCATCTACTGTATAATCATCACAAACCCAAAATCTGAATGGAGGACACATATCTCATATTAGAATTTTAATGCATGTATTGTTTTTGCTAGATAGAGACAGAGATTTCAGCCTTCCCAATGTGATACCGTCCAGATATTTTAGATAATAGCTACTTTCATTCTGAATGTGAAGACTGCAAAATTATAGATTTATAATCTGACACACTTGCAAATTGGAAAAAAAATGTATATGTTTCCAATTATTAGGAAAAACATGTTCAGGGAGGCAAAAAAGGTAGAATGGAAAAATGTAGAAATGTAAACTGAAACCTGCAGGAGTGCTATAATTACATATAAATTACATATTTATATTCTATTTTCTAAGACTTAACATGTCACACATGATTTCTATTTTTGTTTTTACTATTAGATTAATTTTTACCACGTGCCTTATGCTGAAAGCTGATGGTCCTTCGAGGTTACAGAGTAGAGGTGAATTGAGATTTGAGCGGATATTCAAAATTGAAAATATAGCAGTACTTGTCCTTTTTAAATAAAGTAAATAATCCATGAATTTAATCAATAAAAGCACATTAATCAAATTGTGCATTTGATTGTTCATTATCTATCATGAAATGAAAAGTTTATTTAATCCAACATTCTGTTTCCACATAGGGGGCAAGTGGATGCTAGTAGAAATAACACATTTCTATTACTATTTCCAAGCAAGCAGTGCTAAATGACATAACCTATTGCCATCAAAACTAATAAATGATAGTCTTTTCCTCTGTGTTTATCTTAATCCCTAACAGTTTATTTCAGCGAAACCTACACTCTGAGTGATATGCTGGGTGAAGATCTTCTTTTTCTTTGTCTCTAATCTTTTTTCCCAATCAACTTAATTAGAAGATGGCTATGAGAATCAGGCACATTACTGTGGTTGCCCAATTGCAGGCAGTCCTCAATTTACAATCACAACTGAGCCCAACATTTCTCTTGCTAAGCGAGACAGTTGTTAAGGGAATTTTGGCCCATTTTATGACCCGGTTTCATGACCCGGTTATTAAGCAAATCACTGCAATTCTTAAACTAGTAACACAGTGTTGAAGTGAATCTGTCTTCCCCACTGACTTTGCTTGTTGGAAGGTTGCAAAAGTGGAGCGTATGACCCCAGGACACTGGGACCATCATAGATATGAGTCAGTTGCCAAGTGTCTGAATTTTGATCACATGACCATGGGGATGCTGCAATGGTCATAAGTGTGAAAAATGGCCATAAGTCACTTTTTTCAGTGCCATTGTAACTTTGAACAGTCACTAAACTAACTGTTGTAAGTCAAGGACTTTTCCAAGGATCTCCTTTTCTGCTTGAGATGTGAAGAATGCAAAACCTGTAGTGTAAGCTTTGACATAGGCTTAAGGCTTGAAAAAAAAAAACTCTCCAGAAAAAGTTAGAAAAAAATAGCAATCTTGTTCCCTGCTACTCATATAGCCCTGGAGTCCTCCAAGATATATTACATGTATATCATTGAAAGATTTTACTCTTGAAAACTTTTGATAGCTTCATTTTCAGATCAAGAAGGCTCAAATGATTACAGCATCAAGGAAAAGAATCCAGGAAAGAAATTTGCTTTGAATGAATCCCTCCATTTATTCCATAAACAGGAAATTATTTCACCTTTGTGGGCTGTATCTGATGCCAAACCAGATATGGGGGTCACACATGCATGCATATCCATATAAAACTATCTGGAGATGGTGCAGTTGTGGCAAGAGAACAGAACACTTCTTTCCATGCTACATAGAAGCCCTTGCAGAGCTACAGGTGACTTTTATGATACAGATGATCTATTTCTAATCCAAGTTCTACCGAATCATGCTGAGGACCTACAGTATTTTAGTAGATGATGAGGCCTGAAATAAATGTAATGTAATTTCATTTACATTTAAGTATCACAATCACAACCTGATTACTTTCAAGTGTGTGTATATAATTTATTTATTTGTATCCTGCCTTATTAGTTTTACAAATTACTCAAGGCAGCAAACATACACAACATACCTTATTTTCCCTACAACAACAACCCTGTGAGGTAGCTTGGCTGAGAAAAAGTGACTGACCCAGGGTCACCCAACTGGCTTTCATGTGAGACTAGAGCTCATAGTCTCCCACTTTCTAGCCTGGTGCCTTAACTGCTAGACCAGGGGTAGGCAACCTTGGCTCTTTTATGACTCGTGGACGTCAACTCCCAGAATTCCTGAGCCAGCATGGCTCAGCATGGAAACCTCTCCATTTCTCCTCAGCACAGCTGGCTCAGGATGTCTGGGAATTGACGTCCACGAGTCATAAAAGAGCCAAGGTTGCCTACCCCTGTGCTAGACCAAACAATTTATCCTCTTTCCTTTTAAATATAACAAATTAGAAGCTGATATTGAAAAAGTACCAGTTCCCCAAAGTATCTTGGAGAGTACTCAAACCTTTTGACTATCTTATGCAATCCTGGGGCTTCAGGTTGTATATATCTAATCTGTCCTTTAAATTCACCACTTAAACTTCCCCTCACAAAAGAGTATGAAGTTTACAGAATCAAACCTCTTTTTTCCACAAGCTTCAGGGCACGCAGTCAGAAATAAACCAGCAGATTTGAAATTGCGGTTTAAAATGGAGATAGGCGTAATATTAAAAATTAAAGCTTGCATGCAAATTGAAGTGAGCTGGGTTTTCTTTAAGTAAAACATTCATAGGACAGAACTGCACAACTAATTTTACTTGTAAGTGAGTCCTGTTGTACACTTATTTCCGCTGGTTTTCACAAACCACTAGAAAAAGCCTCAAGCCAAATTTATTTCTCTTCAGCGAAGAGACATTGAAACAATATTGTGAAATGCTTACCTTGCACACCATCAAGTCACAGATTCATTTTCAAATGTGCAAAACTAATATGCAAACAAACAATCCCTCCCCCCCCCTCAAAAAAAATCTATATTTCTGCAAAGAGCGATATGGTAGTCTGATCCTTTTCCATTTTCAAAGCAATTTTCTGAGGCAATACTTTCTAACATAAGTTATGTTTACAGTTGTGATTTTGACTGACTTCAAAGTTGCGAACTGATATTGGCAAGCAGTGCTCATAAGAAAAAAAAAATAGGCATGCTATTGCTGATACCATAGATGTTAAACTATATTGCCTGTGCTTTCTGAATAGGCAAGTCCTGTTTTTGGAAATGTAACCAGGCAGGAGAGAAGCTTTCCTGCTGGTTACTTTGAATACATTCCTCTATTGCTTTTTGCTCTTGAAGAGATCTAAGTGGGAAGCACTGAAGCAGGCATGTACTTTCACATCTCTTTAATCTTCCCTTCCTGCAAGTAAGTGAAACTCTTCTCAAAAGGCAGAAAAATAGATTCTTTCAGCTCTTAAACCTTCTTTCTCCATCAAGAGTTCCAGGATAAAGCATATTGAACTGAATTCTGAAAGGATTATATATAAACCCTGCACTCTCCATCTATGCATTATGTTATATCCATTTTTTTTTTTTACTTAAAGCATCCTCATAAAACCTACTGTCCTAGTAGTTCAGCCTGGTAGTATT